TGCATTTTTAGTAGAGACGGGGTTTCACCATGTTGAGCAGGATGGTCTCCATCTGTTGACCTCGTGATCCACCTGCCTCGGCCTCCCAAAGTGTACTTTTATTTTCAACTGATCAAAAATTTTAAGACTGGAAGTAAACTACATTCAAGTTTATTTTAGAATAATGAAAAAAAAAGTTGCAACACTACATTTTGAGAAGGTAGAGTTTGGTTGGATAAGTTTTCATGCAAAAATGTTAACCTTTTTGGATTTTGTTTATGCATATTTTTAAAGACATGTAGAGATAAAACTCCTTAATACTGATGCACTAAGCCCTACCATCTATCTATGATTGTATTTGACATAGCTGTGACTTGACATTTATGGCCAATTATATGATCAGCGGCTATCCTCCTAACACACTAAACTAGAATGTCTGTGGGCAAAGGACTTGCATCCCTGGTGTTTTGCATATATTTTGTTATAGCCTAAGCTCGCAAAAAAAATATTTAAAATAAACCAAATATACCTTGTGAAATAATTATATATTCTTTTTAGTTTGGTAACTGTGTCTTATGAAAAAACATTTGATAGCCTAGGAAAAGTTATATTAAAAATATAATTATTTTGTATTTTTATTACAAATAATTGAAAATTATAATTTATTTAGTATATCTTTGTTGGGAAAAGCAGCAAAAGAGAAAGGACTTACAGAGTGCCTACATAAATTGGTTATGAGTAACACATAAACAAGGAACAACAAACTGCAGAAGGCTGCAGGAGGCCTCCGAGGAGAAAGGCCTCTTCATGCCTCACGTTCCGGTGCAGGGTGACCTAGGCTCTATTACCATAAACATTGTGCTCAAGGACGTAAAAGCCCTTCGTAGCACTATGACATAGCCAGACTTGTAGGCTCCTTGTAAGGCCCACATTCCGTCAGCTGCACATAGGTAACAGGCTAAAGATAACTACATGTTCTTGTTTTGTGAAACTCCCAAACTGCCACTGTTATCAATTGTTAGAATGACACACCAGTTCCAGTTCACTGATTCAATTCCAGCTTACAGATTCACTCCACCATCAACCTCTCCCCACCATTACTCCACTCCTACCCTGTAGATCAAAGTGATTGTAACCAATAAATAGAGTGGATGATCAGACCTCGAGGCCTTCACTGCCTTCTCCAGAGTAATAAGTGATGGCCCCCTGGTCCCACTCTTTGTACTCTTAATCTGTCTTTTCTCATTCCTTTGCTGCCACCAAACTCTGGGTACCCACAAGTGATGTAGGGCTGACTCTCTACATTGTGGTTCCCAATGTGGGGTTCATGGATCCCTACATTCTGGCACCCAGTGTGTGGGGCTCATGATTCCCTACATATCTGATTGCTGGACATTTTGTGTTTTTTTAGACTTTACTTTAAAAGTGATGTACAGATTCGATGCAAACCCTGTCAAAATACCAAGGACATTCTTCACAGAATTAGAGAAAACATTCTTAAAATGTATGTGGAGCCACAAAAGACACCGAACTGCTAAGGCAGTCTTGAGCAAAAGCATGAAGCTAGAGTCATAACAATACTCAACTTCAAAATATGCTATATATGATGTTAGTTGTGAGCTTGTAAAAAAAATTCATTAAAGTAATAGCAACCAAAACAGCTACCATGCTGCCCCACCACTTTTTAAGCAGTCTTCCTTACCAACTCAAGTGTCCATCATGGTTGAGGGGCTCCTCCTGCTGGGATTTCAGAAACTTGTGGTGGAGTGGGTTCCTCCCTGCCTGTTTAACTCATTCCCTCCACATAACTTGTTGGGGGCCAGGAACAAGTCTCAGGGCACAGTATCTCCTTGCAGGATTCCCAGCTTCCTCCCTCTTCAGCCCAGACTCTGTGTCTTCCTCCAACTGCTTTCAATTCCTTCCTTCTGAAGATCTGCTAGGAGTGCACCAGTTTTCCTAAAGTCCCAGTCCCTCAATGGGAGATGTTCCTCCTAGTTGCATCTAGTTGGCCATCTTGGAGCATGCACTTGTATTTTTTAGAGTTTTAAATAACAGTGTTAAAAGTTATTTTTAGAGGAATCGTTTTATTCTGGACACTGCCGAAAACACTGATTTTATTTCAATAAATATTATGATTCTAAAACCTGTTGGAATGCTAAAAGTAAATAATGCAAGTACAGGAAACGTTCACCACCTAAATAGATAATTTGCTGAATGAGAAAAATTACAAAACAATGATAATAATAAGGTAAAGTGAGAGGTGATAAAAATTTACATGTTTAATCGTTTGTTTCTTCTCTAAAATGACTCTATTACATATAATCTTCATGTTTAATAACAGAAAAATATTTTTCTAGAGTCCAAAAAGGCTATCCAAAGTGTGATTAGGTCACAAAATTCTGCCTCCTACTATCACAGTAAACATGCCAGTGTCTTCTATTTATTTTTTTTTTGGTTTCCACAGGTGTTAAATAGACAATTTGAGACACAGAATAACTTGAAAAATGGCATACTGTCTATACACAGAGATGTACAAAAACCAGATTTCTGTCCAATATGATAATCTCATTCCTTGACAATATTTAAATATGCACAACAGCTGCAACAATTCTCAGATCTGACTAACAATTTATCCACTGAGAGCAACTTTCGTCAGGAAGAAACACTGAGAAAATGATGGAGCAGTATTTGGGCATTGAACCATATCTTTAATCAAGCAACAGCAGCAGTAGACTCTTCCCAAATCATGGCTAGTGTCCCTTTGATCATCATGCATGCATGATGTCCCAATCTCAAATGCCATGTGAAAATCTTATTTCTAAGAAGGAATATAGGAAGACTTTCTGTCCATTCCCAATATTTAGCTATTTTGTCTAAAACACATTAGCAGTTTATATTATCTCTGTAACCACTAATATTAATTCACCTTGGGAACTTAGGCTCAGTTTTTGCTCACTAAAAACAAGTGAAATGTCTACCTACCTATCAAGTTTACCTTGGAATTAAACACGATAAAAGCTCAATCTTTCATAGTTGGTTGAAAGCTCAGATAAAAGTCAATAAAATTAATATCCTCATGACTAAATTCAATATAAGAACTGAACAGATAGCAGGGCCCACTTGTGAATACAGTTCAATGGTCGTTAGTTTAGAACCTGATCAGTGTGTTTCTGTTCTATTTATAATATCCGAAGAAGATTAATGTTTTTCAGCACAGATTTGGCTAATTTTTTTGTTTACAGTTTATATCTTATCCCTTATGTTTGGCACCAGAACAAGGACTTTAAAGTATTTTTTAAAACCAGAATCTTTGAAAAAGACTCAGTTTTACAATAACTATGTATTGAGTGAACAGTGAATACTCAAACAAAAACTTGCCATGCCTAATATAATTTGTAGGCAAGTTTTTTAACTTCAAAATCAGACCATTTCTTATACCAAATATTTTAAACAATAGGATAAAAAGAAGGGAAACTACAGAACTTGTTTTATAGGACTGCTATATCATTTCATCCAAATGTGATAAAAGCAATACAGGAAAAACAAAAACTATAAATCATTCTAACATACAAAAATAGAAATATCTCAAACTTATCACAAATTAACATCATAACAACAACAAATGTACCATTGCCTGATTAGGGGTCATCCTAAGCATCAAAAATCAACATAGAAAGTGTATCTGTGTAAGTGAATAAATTCAGGTATTAAAGGAAAGAGTCATACGCTTACCTCATTAGAGACAGGAGTGTATTTTTTCTAAGGTTAACACATAACCATGTAAAAAATACCCAGCAAGGCAAGACTAAAGGGAACATCTTCCATCTGATAAAGATAACCGAATATGTACAAGAAAGCATCTGATATCACAATAAAATATTGGAAACATTTTATTTGAGGAGAAAGATCATACTTATATTAGAAAGTAATTATAGCTTACATAGAGTTAGACAAATTAGAAAGTACAAGAAGCCTTTGATATTAACAGAAAATGACACTCTACCAAAAATGGAAAATAATTTACAAAAAGATGGTTACAATTCATCATATGTTGAAACATAGTCACTGCGTAAAAGAGCATCTTTTAACTATCTTACATTTTTATATATCTTTAATGTCAATTGAAATGTCTCCCCAAATTTATATATTGAAGCCTTAACCCTCTATGTGCCCTAGAACGGGGTCCACATTCAGAGATATAACCTTTAAAGAAGTGAGCAGGGTAAAATGAGATTATATGAATGAGTCCTAATTCAATATGACTGCTCTCCTTATAAGAAGGGGAAGAGATGGCAGGGACTCCCATGCATAGAGAAAAGGCCACATGTAAGAACCCACATGTATCTATAACAGGGTGGCCATCTGTTAGCCAAGGAGAAAGGCCTCCAGTGAAACAAAACTTGCAAACACCTTCATCTTGGGCTTCCAGTTTTCAGGAATGTGAGAAAGTAAATTCCTGTTGTTTCAGCCACTCAGTCCATGGCATTTTGTTATGGCAGCATTGGCAAACTAATATAGTAAGTGTGGAAGAGGGGAAGCAACTGAGTAGCTTACAATTAAATTCCAGTCTTTCAGTCAGTCTGTATCTATAAACCATAACTGTCACAAATTTATATATATAAATTCCTTAGGTGAAAATGGAGTGTAAATAAAGGTAGAGTGAGTTAAATGTCCTTCTCCAAGTGAGATATGGCCCTGATAAAGTGTTGTACACAGAGGAGTAGGGTTTGTTATAAAGAATGCTATGGCCATATTTCACAATGGTTAATATTCTCCTTCCTCTAACAGAGGATCAAAAGGTCCATCTTGGTGTGAACTTGGTGGGATTCTTAGAATTAAAACTCAGGAAAGTACAGGGGCTTCCTTAATACTGCTGCTCCCAAGCATTTCTCACTTCTGTGCTTTTCCATACTCAGCCTTCAGCCATTTGTCAACATCCCCACAAAGTGTTCCTACCCGTTAATGGCTCCCATGGGTTCTGTTCCAGATAGGCAGGACCTACTGTGACTTGCATTTCTCACCTGTCTCTTCAGTGTTCAGGGTGATGGTTTTCCTCATCATTCATTTTTAGTCTCTTCAGTGTTTTCTTGTGAAAATGGAAGTGATGACTTCTAAGCTCACTGTATGTCAAAGCTGAAATGAGAAATTCCCAGAGACAGTTTTTAAATCCGTAAGCTAGTAATCTAAACCATGTGCTCCTAACAGTTTCACTATCCTGAGCCTAAGTATGTTGATCCACTGTACTTTGCAAATCAAGTTTCTGCTTTTTAGAACTTGTGTGGTGATGAGTAGTTGACTGAGTTTGTAAATATGAAAATATTTAACACATATTTTAAATATGAAGATACAAATAAGTTGTAAGTGCCACTGGAACATGTAGGCAACTTGGTGAACATAGGATACAAGTTCCATGAAGACAAATACTTCAGTCTTTTTTGTCACTTTCCTTCCAGAGCATAGAATGACACTCTACAGGCATTAAGTAAATGTTTGTTGAATAAATAGTTATTCAAAGGAAATCCAGGATGGTGACTTAAGTATGGGCAAAAGAAAGTGATTTATTCCTAGAAACGGCAACAGTGGGAAAATCTTACATATTTTCACCTGTCAGAGAGAGCATAATCCCCACAAAGTTGATCCTTTTAATTCTCTTTTCAACACTTCACTCTTATGCAATTTTGTAAAAGTACTTATTACAAAACCATCTTATACTACACACTTCTAAGTGTCACGAGCTGTGAAATGTTATCTGTACCAAACACTACTACTTGTATTTGCAGATGTTCAGTTTATAAACTCACTATTTGAGTTGCACAGTCTTTTATTTAACACTATTATCACTGTATTTTGGACACAGGAAAAACCATTTCTTCTTCATTACAATCATTGTCTTCTTTCCCTCCTTCATCATCTTCATTTCAGTTATTTCCTCCATGCCTGGTATTAAGATGAGGAAATCTTAGAATTTATTAAAGATTCCTGGGGTTGTTCTAACAGCAAAGTGTGATTCCTCCAAGGGTCATTGGATCATAATGACTGATGAAGACATAAAATAACTTTTAAGATTATGAACTTGAAAGCTAATTTTAATTTTAGGTAATTATTTATTTTCCCACTTTTGCTGATTAACATTGGAAATGAGTTCTGTAAGACTCAGTTTAAGAATGAGCCATGTTGATTCTCTCCTCTGTCTGACTGATAGTACCAATGGGTTCTTTTTATTTTATTCTCTCCAAAATGGGGATGCTAAATATCTACATAGTTCACCTACATAATTTTGATTCTCTGAAGATTGTATAATAACATTTCTAAAGAAATAAACACAAAAGTCAGTGCAAAACTGGTACATATTGAATGTAACTAATATATTGTTCCAATAACAACCAGAAAACTTACTCTTCGCAAATAAGAGACCAAAGATGTGAAGGAAGCCATAAATTGTTCAGGGAAAAATGAACAAGGAAGAAGAGAGCTTCACTGAGTACTGAGTAGCAATGTCATGCGTCTCTTGAAAAGCAAAATGTTTAATCATTGCTTTCATACCTTCTTATATGGCACACATATTATACAATCACATAGAAAAGCGGTACATTTAATCACTGGGTTCATTTTTTAGTTCCCGCTATTTTTTCTTTTTGAACTGTTTTTATGATTGCAGAATCTATAAGAAAAGTACATTCTGAATTATTTTATTATTCAAATGATAAAATGGTAAAGACTAATCTTTTGCTTTTAAAGTATTTGATGTTTTTAAAAAGTAAATAATATACTTCAAAACATTTTATTTCTTTTTTTAAAATTTTTATTCTAGGCTCAGAGGTACATGTGCAGGATTGTTGTATAGGTAAATGCATGTCAAGGGGGTTTGATGTGCAGATTGTTTTGTCCCCCTGGTATTAAGTCTAGTACCCAATAGTTATTTTCTCTGCTTTCTTCCCTCCTCCCACCCGCGCCTCTCTCATAGGCCCCCGTGTCTGTTGTTTCCCTCTTTGTGTCTGTGTTCACATCATTTAGCTCCTGCTTAGAAGTGAGAACATGTGGTATTTGGCTTTCTGTTCCTACATTAATTTGCTAAGGATAATGGTGTCTAGCGTCATGCACATTTCTGCAATGAACTTTATCTCATTCTTTTTTACAGCTGTATATGTACTATATTTTCTTTATCCGGAATTCCACTGATGGTCATTTAGGTTGATTCCATGTCTTTGCTGTTGTCAATAGTGCTGCAAGGAACATATGTGTATGTATCTTTATGATAGAACAATTTATAATGTTTTGGATATACACCTAGTAATGTGATTGCTGGGTTGAGTGATAGCTCTGTTTTTAGAATCCTTGAATAATCACCATGCTGCTTTCCAAAACAGTTTAACTAATTTTCACTTCCACCTATGGTATATAAGCATTCTCTTATCTCTACAACTTCATCAGCATCTGTTATTGTTTTGACTTTTTAATAGTAGCCATTATAACTGGTGTGAGATGGTATCTCATCATGGTTTTGATTTGTATTTGGGAAAAGGACAGTCTAGTCAATAAATGGTATCAGAAAAACTGAATATTTACAAGCATAAAAGTGAAATTAGACCTTTCTCACTATATGCAAAAATCAACCCAAATGGATTGAGGTCTTAAATATAAGATCTGAAACTATGAAACTCTTAGAAGAATACATAGGAGAAAAGCTCCATAGTGTTGCTCTGGGCAATAGTCTTTGAATATGACCCCAGATGCATAGGCAACATAAATGAAAAGATACACAGATGGAATTACATACATCAAACTGAAAAGGTTACTTGCTGAGTGAAGAAACAGCCTACAGAATGGTAGGAAATATTTGCAAACTACACATCTGATGAGGGGTGGTTTTCCAAAAATATATAAAAACTCAAACAACTTGATAGCAAATAAATCAATTAAACAATGGAAAAAAATCTGAATAGACGTTTTTCAAAAGAAGATATACAGATGGCCCAAAGGTATGTGAAAATATGTTCAGCATCACTAATCATCTGGGCAATGCAAATCAAAACCACAATGAGCTATCACCTTACTTTTGTTAGAATGACTATTATAAAAAAGACAAAGGATAACAAGTACAGTGAGGATTTAGAATAAAGGGAGCCCTTGTGCACTGTTAGGGGAAATATAAACTGGTATAGCCATTATGGAAAAACACCATGCAGCTTCCTAAATACGTTAAAAATAGAACTGCCATATTACCATATTACCCAGCAATCCTATAATGGATATTTATTCCAAGAAAATAAAACCAGCATGTTAAAAATATGTTTGTGCCTCTGTTTATTGTAGTACTCTTCACAGTAACCAAGATACAGAATCAGCCTAAGTGTCTATCCATGGATGAATAAAGAAAATGTGGAATATGTACACAATAGAATACTACTCAGCCATAAAAGGAATAAAATCCTGTCATTAGTGATAACATAGATGAATCTGGAGAATATTATGTTAAGTGAAATAAACCAGGCATAGAAAGACAAATACTGCATGATATCTCTCATATGTAAAATCTAAAAAACAGTTGATCTCATGGAAATAGAGTAGAATGGTAGTTACCAGAGGCTGAGGTGGTTAGGTGGGAGAGGAAAATGGGGAGAGGTTGACTAAAGGATGTGCATTTAGTTAGGAGGAATACACTTAAGAGATCTATTATAGAGCATGGTGACTATAGTTAATGACAACACTGGAAAAGACAGTGAATATTAAGTGTTCTCACCACAAATATAATGTGAGATAATGCATTTGTTGATTAAACTACTCCACAATATATACATACTTTAAAACATCATGCATCATAACATCATTTAGTAATCATGGTCAGTATATTTAGTAAGGCTTTATTTTATTTACAACAAACTTTACTAAAAGATCTATATCTAGATGGAAATAGGATAAAGATAACTATATATTTTCAATATCTTAGACAGCAAAGGCAAAAATAATGATTTAGAACACTAAGCTTTCTTAACTAAGGTAAGATACTCAAATCATGGTTTTAAAAATAGCTCTGTTAAAATATTCAGGCAATTTATTGATTTCCCACGTAAAAGATAAATATAGCTTAATGGTCAGATAATTGAACTTCTCTCCTGATTCACATTGTCTAATTCACCTATTTTTCCTTCTATGCTACTATCTATCATAACATCATGTGTGAGAGAGAGAAAAAAAGTAAGTGCTTAAATTCTGAAGAAACCATTTTTTTCCCTGTTTTTATCTGTGAAGTTCTACAATATGAATATTGTTACTGTAAGTCACTTTAACATATGGCCCAGTTGCTGCTTCAGATATATTCATAATGTTTACAAGTGGCAGGCCATTCTGTATTCACAACTCATGCTATTATACACTAGAAGATGAGTTATTATTTTAATACTTCTACAAAGACTAAATAATGCATCCAGGCATGTTCAGTTGATTAGAAATAAGTCCCCTAGGCCAGGCGTGGTTGCTCACGGTTCCCAGCACTTTGGGAAGTCGAGGCTGGCGGGTCACAAGGTCACGAGAACAAGACCATCCTGGCCAACATGGTGAAATATCATCTCTACTAAAAATACAAAAAGTAACAGTGCACGGTGGCACTCACCTATAGTCCCAACTACTTGGGAGGCTGAGGCAAGAGAATCACTTGAACTTGGGAGGTGGAGGTTGCAGTGAGCCAAGATCATGCCACTGCACTCCGAGCTGGCAACAGAGTGACACTCTTAAAAAAAAAAAAAAATCCCCTGAGGACAGCACAGAGAATTTTTTTTTTTCATTTCTAATATTAAAAAAAACTTGTTTTTGATTAAATGTTGCAGATCAACAAACAGCCTTAAACACTGATGGCCTCTCAAATCCCTAAAACTGGCCAATGAGTGTGATTGCTCCATGAAATTCAAACTCTGTTTTAAAAAATGATTTCTTCAAAAGCATGAAAAAATAAAAACAAGTTGTTTTTTTTTTTTCTTAATACTTAGCAAACCTTAGAACTATAAGATCTCTGGAGAATACACTTTTCCCCTTCTCTCCTTCCCTTCTTCCTTGCAAACACTGGGCAACTGCATTGGTCACATATTCTAGGTAACCATGCCGCATTCTGAGAATACAAGCATGAATGAAATGTTTCT